AATATAAGAGCTCGGGCATTTTATGCTAAATAAAAAACTTATTTATGCTAAATAAAATACGTTAGGGCCACCCCAGACACACCTTAATTGACGATGTTAATTCATCTCGGCGCGGCACAGTAGCGCATTGCGCTACAAGACACACCTTACTTGTTAAAGTAAAAGTAAAGTAAGTAAAGTAAAATTTATGACATCACATTATCACACATGTCTACAAACTATCATCGCACTGTGTGAAAAAATATATAATAAATATTTCCCCACCAACAATAATTAATTATCAAATACCATATTTAAAAACAATTTCATCAAAAACATTATCCTATTTTAAAAACTTCCCAGTGGAATAAAGATTTATAAAACGCTTCTTTGCCACATAAGTATGGAACCAAAAATAATTGTTATGTTTCTCTTTATTACTGACATAATATAACTGGCTCCTTCAATTCTTACTAAAACTTCATTAAAAACATTCCAAAAAAGCAATCATTTGTAATACTTTTAGAAATCATATCTATCTTATATCCTTCTAATTTAATTTTAAAACCTAAAACTGTCACAGTGTTCTTGTTACTAGAAGTAAAAGTTTTTTTGACCGTAGAATCGATTAAAAGTAGTTTCAAAATGATTCAAAACGATTTTGGACCAAAAAATAGGCCAAAAAACCACGTTTTTTAATATTTTAAGCAAGTTAATTTTCTTGGAATGTCGGTAAAATTTGCATGGAGATAGTTAAAACATGATGGTATAAAAATAACACAAATCCCTCTATTTTTCTTTTGTATCATGTTGTGACCCCCATGGTCGTTTCACTATAGTGACGATATGGGGGGGGGGGGCCGCGCACTCGTGCGCGGCGGGTCATACAACGTATGGCAATTTTTCTCCGGGTAAAAATCCAAAAAGTGATCAAAATTTAGATGTATTATATTTTGGAAATTTTTAAACATATATCTTCTGTAATAATAACTAATTTAGATATATTATATATAATTTCGACCAAAAAATTCATTTTTTATGGAAATTTTAGTTGCGCCGCGCATATTTTCGAAAATTTACACCGTGGTATGAAAATCGAGCGCTAAAGCAAATTCTGTCATATTTTCACAATAATACCTAGGTTGTTTTTTAGTGTTATTGTTGCATTTCGAAACTCCTTTTCAGTTTTCAACCTATTTGGTTATTTTTTGATGTGTAATTTAATTACTAACTATGTTTTCATGTATTCTCATTCATACTATTTCCTATCGTTTTTATCATATGCTTTTAAATCCTCTAAAGGCGGCTCTATTTGTGGCATACTTCTTATCTTCTACAAAGCTTATCGTGGTTTGTTGATACTGAATTGGTTTAATTGATACTATTCGATTACTCTGTTAGAAATGTATAGTAAGATGTGACGGAATAAGAGAAACTAAAATATTTAAATGGGTTGTGGCCATTTCAAAATATTCGAGGAGGTCATATTTTTCCCCTACTCTTGCTGAAGGCAAAAAGATCGTAGGGAATAAGTAATCGGGTCTGGATATATGCGCTCCTGCTAAATCGCTCGCCCAAATTTTAAGCAAATTCTTGTGAAAAGGCTGTTTGGGGTATGAATTTAATCTGGATCGGTGTATTTTTTCCGAATCACCCACCATGACGTAGGGTAAAAATGCTTCCCTGGAGAGTTATGAGCAAAAAACTGTTTTGGTCACGTGACAGGCTAGTAAAACATGAATTCGATTGTTTAGGGCTCCGGTTAGGGTTAGGGTTGTGGTAAGGGTTATGGATAGCTTCGGGGTTAGGGTTAGGGTTGGCATTAGAGTATATGTAAAACCGTTTTGTACGGCTGCAAAACCATAAAAACCAAAGTCACGTGAAATGTTTGGGCGAGCGAATTAGTAGGGGGTGCACCATAAAAATAAACTTGCTCGGATTTTAAAATTTTTTGTACCATTGTTTCTAGAGACTGTGAGAATTTTCACAATACCAAATTTGTCATACCTTTTTGGAAAGATCAGTGAGTTTCGCCTAGGTGCCATATTTGATGGTGCGCGGCTTTTGGAGCAAAATTAGCTGTAAAAGTCGCGTAATTTGACCAAATTTGACCAAATTCGTTGATTTTTGTCGTATTATTTGGATATATCTTCAGTTCCTTGAATGAGATCATTCTGAAAATTGGCGACGACCTTCCAATAGGGCTTTCACAACTGTCCGAAAAATTTGGTGGATATCGGAGTTGATATAGTGATCAAAATGGGGCCAAATACGCTACTTTTAGCTGTAACATAATGTCTGATGGTTGGATATGCTTTAAACTTTTCGGACACTTTCCTTGTAAGTCTAAAATGCGAACATTTTTAGAACATTTGAATATAATTTGAAACATTACAGAAATGTTGTACAAATCGTTCAAACACACACACTCGGTTTTAATTCGGTAAAATTCCATTCGAAAATTAAATGATTCTCAAAATGTAGGTGTCTAATGAAAATGTGATACTGTGTGACAAAGTTAAGTATGTCGTAGTGAAAGAAAGTTAACTGTCGATAAATATGAGTAAGCTTACCAATTTTTGTTGCAATCGGAGGTCGGGAAAGATACTTAATATTTATTTGTTTGAAGAAAATTGTGCTGGCCGAAATTAGCGCTAAAAAACCATCCTACTGTCGGCACGCGCGGCTCACTGTCGATGGCGCACTACCTAGAATTAGTAAGAGTCGGATATATGAGGTGGCCCGATGGACCTGCGTTGACGACAAAAATCTGCTCCTTCGCAATATAGACCACTCCCCTATAATTATGGGGTTTATAAAAGGAGTTTATTTTGCGCGCGCGACGCCAGTTATGTGTTAATTAATTACAGGCATAACAACCAGTTTTTGGTGCTTGACGACTGTTACACAGGTTTCCATCGGGTTACAATTTACTCTAATTCATTAATATAGCATATTAGTCATCTGAGCGGATCAATCCAGTATGGCGCAAATGCATAATTTGATAATTTCTCGACGCCGTTGTCGGGGTGAGAGTTATCTGAACCAACTGCATGCCCCTACGATTGCGTCACCACTGGTGAGCAAGCATTTGTTTGTTGTTTAGTTGTGTTGAAAGGGAACATTACCTGATTAATTCATCCATTCGGATTTTAATAACGATGAGCTATGATATACCGTTCATTTTAGATTATTGGATCAATTTTGTTATATAATGATTAGATTTTATAAACGAACTTGGCACACAAATGATATAATGCGGAGGTTGGCTGGCTCCTCTATAATAAATGTGACACTCCAATTTACAGAATGCTTGCTAGAGATAAAACAAAATATTATCAGACTATACATGCAGCATGAGTAACTGGTGGATAAGCCTTCGGTAAAAACGGATCCGGAAAAGTCAATGCAGCACTCCGGTTCTTGGTATTGTCGTCGGTATATTGTCCATTATCTACGTTCTGCCTTCATAGTTTTAACAATAGTGAGTTCTAAATATACAGCTTTAAACCGATTAAGCATGAATGAATGAAATACCTGACAATCCGCACTCCCATAATTCAAAAGCATGAGTACGTAACTCGTAGTGATGTATGATTTCTAGAAACTTTAAATTAAATTTGGCGCTCATAGGTCCTCGTGATCATGTGATCGCCGCATGAGGTTCTGTAAATGCGCGGGGCACCTTCAAGCTTAAATTATTCACCTTACTGAGGCAGTCAACCAACGCGCAGCTTTATTTTTATGATATGATATGTTTTGATTGTTATTAGTAAATACCAAAATTTAAATTTGTTTTCCTAAAATTTGTTTTCCTATTTCCTAATCATCAATATAAGTGTTATTTTGGCGAAACAAGCTTAATAAATTACCGAGTGCTAAAATTCAGCAAGTCAAAACAAATTCAATTATGATAACTTAACTCTAATTATAAGATACAAGATAGTATTAACTAAATATTTTATATGCTAGGTAAAAGGTAAGGTTAACTCTAATTGTAAGATACAAGGTAATATTAACTAAATATGCTAGGTAAAAGGTAAGGTTAACTTTAAATTTGAGGCAGAAGGTAATGTGTAGTGTACAACGGAAGGGGACCATTCTCATAACAGGAGGGTCAACCTATCCGTAAGTAGCCCTAACACAATCCTAAAATACCGTTAGTTCATCCTAAAACCGCTATGAAGACTTGAAATACCGATATAAAAGTCCCGATACAATCCTTGGTAGTCCTTTTCGATATTGGTTAAAATCCATATTCGTTAATCTCAAGAAAATATTTGGATAAATTTCTTTCGTCTTCTAAACTTGAGATCTTTCCTTCATAAGCCCGATTATTAGCTGAGAATTAGTGGCATCGTTGTTTACAATAACTGAATTCGGCAGAGAGACTGGTGCCACCCAATAAGCCCCTCAGGCGCTTAGCTTATAATAACATCTATGACATTCAAGTGCATTTTTAAGCAATTTGCCCTTGAGTATGATAATTATAACTAGTTTTATCGTGTTCGGCGTCCTCTAAAACATAGGGTTACATGATTTTCGCTCCGATATTCATTAACAAAAATCCTTCTATTTTCAAATCTCTGGCCTAGCTGCCTGCTGGGTTTCAGAAGGTGATACAGCAATATCACACGATACACTATATTATTCCATATAAGGCCTGATCGAGTAGCTCGAGTTCGGAGAGCAAGCTCTGGTGACGTCATAGTCACGTGACCTCAGGCTCATAATCATTAATCATTGATCACGTGACCTCAGACCCAATCAATTGGGTTCTGGCCTGTTCAGCCACCTGTCACCCGATCTTGAGGTCATGAGGTGACGTGCGACACCGCATAAACCCAATTGATGTCTGGAAGGCTGCAAATTTTCACATGCCAAACTCACAACGGTTTTTCAGAGTTGTGCGAGATGACGATACATAGAGGCCACAGAATTATGAGGACTACCAGATCCTGGTGGAACCTAAGCGATCCATGATATTACGACAGGCCCTACTGACTTGACTTACTTATGTCTTAGGGCGGCTTCAGCGTCCGAACAGAAATAGTCTTCTTCCAAATCTGTCTATCCAGCATGAGTTTGTTAATCTCTTTGATGTCGTCAAGCCCCGTGTCCTTCCGAAGGATGTCAATGTATGTGAGATGTGGTCTTCCCCTTCGACGATGTCCTTGAAGGGGTTCCCAGAAGAGAAGTTGATGACTCAATAGTTCTTCATGTCTGGCTAAATGACCTGCGAGTCTCATCCTCCGTGCAGCTATCTTATCAGATGCTCTGATGAGGTGTCCATACACCTTGGCGTTAGTCTGCCGCTCTTTCCAGTCAATGTTCAGTGCCATCCCCAGCATTCTCGTATAACATCCATCAATACGTTTTGCGAGGGTCTGGCTGACAGTCCATGTTTCAGAGCCATATAGAAGGATGGACTCGACTGTAGCCAGGAACAGTCGTATCTTGAGATCTCTACGCATATCTGACTTCCATACAAGCTTCATCTGGTGACACGCTCCCCATGCCTTAGCTTTCCTCACTTCGAAGTCCTTCTCCGAACTCTTCATTCTACTACCCAAATATACGAAGTCATCGACTTTCTCAATGTTCTTCCCACTCCCAGCAACCAGAGTCGGGTTATCATCATCTCTTATGTTGATTCCCATGTACTTAGTTTTCCCCTCGTTGAGGTGGAGTCCAACTGAGTTGGCCGCCAGTTCCAGACTCCTGAGGAAATCTTGTGCCTCCGCAACACTATCTGTTATAAGAGCAAGGTCGTCAGCAAAGTCCGCATCAGTGACCTTGACAGCCGGATAGCGACGGCTTCTTCTAGGGTGTAGAGTAAACCCAAAGTCCCTAGTACCCTCTAGGGACACCCTCATAATCTACAAGACCACATGGCTTCTTCTTTCTCCCACTGACCTCATTAACAAGATTCCGGCTCTCTTTGTTCTTGCATCTATCGGCTGCGTTTTCAGCTTTACTTATTTTCTGTTTAAGCAGCTCTTCCTCCACAGTACGGTAGCATGCAGAGAGAGTGTCTTTCTCCTCGGCAACTGTCTGTCTGTTGTCTTCACAAGGATCCAGATGGTAGGTCTCCTTGGTAGCAAACAATTTGCTTCTGGCTTCCTCTACTCTTGGGTCGTTGGCAGGATCGTCATACCGCTTCTTAGGTTTATGCGGAAGATGCTTCCTATTTGCATACTTCACTGCTTCAATAAACTTCCCATACTTAGTGGTGACGTCATTAGTAGGACCTAGATCTAGTTGCACCTCACTCAAGAGTGCACTATACCTATTTCTAACTTCAACTCCATACTTGATCTGTAACTCTTGATCAGTTTTGAGACGACTGAAGTCGTAACGTGTGACCCGTGGTGGACTTATGCTCTTTCGAAGACTGAGCTTTACAGTTGAGAGTACTGCCCGATGGTCAGAGCCCAGGGAATTGAAAGAGTTGCATGGCTCGGTGTTCTTTATTGAGCTCCTCCACTTCTTCCGTACCAGGACATAGTCAATCTGGCTCCTAGTTAGTACTCCATCTGAGAGGTGAGTCCACTGCTTACCAGGACTCTTCTGAAAACGATGATTCGTCGCCTCTAACTCTCCCTCCAGCAGTGTATCCCTGAGCAGATGACCATTACGATTGGTCACTTGATGCCAGTACCATCCCGTATCTTCACCATTCAACTTGCTGAGGTGAGCATTAAGATCTCCTATCACAAGTAGTAGATGATGAGAGGGGACCTCCCTTACTGCTGCTCTCAAGCAGTCGTGAAACTCTTCGGCTTCTTCGACAGTTGCGGATTCCGTTGGACTATACACAGAGATTATGGTTAATCTTGGGTTTCCGTCCAACGACACAAGCATGCAGCGCTTACTATAGGTCTTGATAAGACTAACTGCATTAAAGGCTTGTTTAGTCAGCAGGAATCCCACTCCTCCTGTAGACGCTTGTGCTCTGTTTCTCCATGCTGAAGTTGTTATTAGGTGGACTCCCTTCTTGTGCCTCTCTATCTTGACTTCTTCATCATGCACAACTCGGTGTTCTTGTATTGCAAGGACAGATATCTGACTGCGCAAGAAAAGATTAACCATTTCAAGCCGTTTAGAAAACTCCCTCACAGTACGGACATTAAGAGTCCCAATGATACTCTTCTTTGTACAACTAACTACTCCTCCACTATTTTTTTGTTTTTTGATGTTTTCTGTTGGCTTTCTAGGATTCATAAACACATCATCAGCTGCCCGTCCACTATGTGGGTTTAGGACAACCGAGTAATAACTGTACTGATCCTCGATAGGCCTGGTAGGGGCTTGAACCCTAGTGCTTTTGGTTGTAACCATATTTGTTTTTCAAAAGGCTAAGTGACCCAGTGAAGTCCCCTTCACTGTGGCAAATGGTCACTAATCCCAATGCCACGCCACCGGAACATTGGGGAAAACCGCAGGAAAATTTTACCAACTCGAACATGTAAACGTTAACCACATGAAAATAACGTTTATCAGGCTGTATCACTAGCACTCAACTTTACTCTACCCGATCTTCACCTGCTCTATGCAGGACTTAAGCTTATGACCTAAAGCGTAAGGGAGTTAGAGCGTGAAACAGAAATTTCCGCTTTGACGAGGGCTAACTCTCCCTCTGACTACCGGTTACCCTGGCACAGGGAGCTGTATCCTATCTAACAGAGCGTGGTCCAGTCTGACTGGGTCGTAGTAGAACAGGTTTGGAGGGTAACAGCCTACACCTCTTTAACTACTGTGCAATCCACAGTAAAGATTTATGAGTCTCCGAGCCCCTTGTGAGCCAAGAGTTTAGGAATCAATGACGTTTTGTGATTGAGCTCCTCGGGATTTATGTATTATGTATTTAGCCTGGACACAGCCCAGTTTCCAGTCTTTCCAGTCTTCCAGGCCCTACTGCTCAGAACTTATATCATCTCTATCAGGGGTTACAGAGGTGCCAGAACTTTGCCACCATAAGTGGTTTGGAGATCATAAAAGGTCGTGGAGTGTTTGATGGGTGAGGGCCTGAACCACTTGTTGTTTTGAAAAAACCCTGGTTTTCAAAAATGTCTACCATTCTTTTTACATTTAGTTTATTGTATTGGTTTATTCATTTTCGAGGGTGTCTAACCTTATAGCTATACAATTACCATTGTTGAAATTATTTGTGTAGTGTGCATATTGCAATTGTTTTAATGATTTTCATCAAAACACAAAACAACTAACACTGTCAGCGAATAGAGTAGCCTTCCGAATTCAGCCACATGCTCACAGGCTGAAACATTATCCTGTTCAGAATGAGCAGACTGTTTTATAGAGGATAAGCCCAATGAGTTATTTGGGGGACATTTCAGAAAAATGTTCGTTAACTTTTTAATGAAAAAAGCGAAAAGTTTCTAGCCATCTGATCAAGTTTTATTTATTATCTGGTCAAATTTATGTCAACTGGTCAAGTTTTAGAGAAGATTAATCCTTTGCATGCTGGTTAACAAAGCGAAAGAGAAATAAAACGCGATATTGAGTTCAAAGGAAGATACGTGATTTGTAGTGGGGAAATGAGATATTCGCGATTTATCTCCACAAACCTGAAAAATCGCGAGTTGTTGCGGAGAATTTGAAAATCACGAATTGTGTAACTCTTGTTCCTATTTGCATCCAGTAGTCCGAAAGGTTGTTTTCTATGATGTCCCATTCCTAGTTAGCTGACTTAAACGGGACTGAACTAGGGTGCATTTATTTCCGGTTGACACTGACAAACTTCTAAGGTTATGGCAAAGACGAGTCTAAGAAAAGCACAAGCGGATAGACCAGGACACTATGTCGGAGAAACTCTAAATCAAGTTCGGCATGGCCAAGGAAAATATGTATTCAACAACACTTTCTTTGCCTATGAGGGGGACTGGCTGGAAGGTTATATAATGTTTTTGTTTTCAAACTTTGCTTTATTGACTAATATGAATTTATGTGAACTTTGGTCCCTCTGTACTATTCATTATTCAAAGGGTATAAATTCAAGAGTTAGGCGTTTTATAATTGAATAATATTTACAAGTAAATTGATATATTCTCAGGAGTGAAACATGGAAAAGGCAAGCTGTCAATGAGGGATGGGGGATATTATCAAGGAGACTTTGTAAATGGAGAGATAACGGGAAAAGGAGAGCGCTTGTGGTCAAATGGGAATGTTTACGTAGGTATGTACATTTGAAAAATCCAAATAAAATTTCATAGTTGAAGAATCGAAGATCCCTATCAAAAAGTCTATACTATATAATTGTATTAATCATTACTTACTACACGTCACGGCATTCAATAGTTATCTGTTTCGTACCTAACCTATAACTTCAGATTTAAGTCTACTTTGGTCAGAGTACACTAAACTGTACACATTATTCCAGGAGAGTTTGAGAATGGTGAACTGAACGGTAGTGGGCAGATGAAGTACGCAGATAGTAGGCGGTATACCGGCCAGTGGTGTGACAACAAGTACGAGGGTAAGGGGACACTGCACAGCGGAGAGGGCGACATTTATACTGGACACTTTCATCTTCACAAGCGACATGGTGACGGCGAGCAGGTAGAACTAGAAACTTGTTTCCAGAGGTCACAGGGAATGAACATATTCAGAGTAAACAATTTAAAGATTAAAATCCATGAGGAGTACCACTGCTTGTCCAAGACTTAATTAAATTAATGGACTCTGTTGTGATTTCTAAAATTTAAGAATCATCTATAATTCCAATAGCTCCAGCTGCATCAACTTAATATCAATCAACACCAAGGTTATTAAGTGTTAAATTTATGCATAAATAATGAACATGCATCAGATCGTAACATAAAACGCTAGCATGTATCAACACTATATTGATGATAAGTTATTATATACTATTAAATATTATAAAATATTAAAGTTAAACCTAATAGGTGTGGTCAGATGGAAGGCGATATGAGGGCGGCTGGGTGGCCAGTAAACCACATGGCCACGGTACGATGAAGTACGCTGACGGTAGTGAGTATGAAGGGCAGTATTACCATGGTCAGAGACAGGGGCAGGGAACTTACACTCATATTTCTGGTATGTGGTTTTAATGACTATCCATTTTAAAAACCTAGAAATTGTATTCGAGTCTATTCTGACTGAGTACATCATGCAATTTATCGATCGTTTTATCGAGAAGAGAAGCAGAATAACGTGAAATACTGATAGCAATAGTTTAAATTGTTGAGATAGCAATAGTTTAAATTGTTGTGATAGCAATAGTTTAAATTGTTGTGATTACTTCAGGAATATCATACAGTGGTCTGTGGATACAAAACGAAATTCCTCCAGAAGAGTTCGCTTCTGGAATGGCTTTTGTCGGTTCGACAGAAATCGAAATATCTCAAGGCGAATCCTTTTCCATAGGTCAGTTAAATTAATGACACTCGTATGTGAACCTTTTAACACTTTGATTCTGTTCATAATAATCAATTTAATGCATCTTAATGTTAAATCAACTTTCTGTGCAGCTGAATTTATATTATTATTCAGTACTGATATTAATAATATTCACATTTCAGACTTTAAACAATCTTGGAAGACTGAGAAATATCATCAATCGATAAATTTTTAACATTTTGCAATCGTGTAAAATCGTGCAATCGTGTGTAACTTAAATTAATTATTAAATCCGTCTTAAAATATCCCCAGAATTAAAATATAAAATTCCCACAGAATTGGCAGTGTTGCATCCTAGCGGAAACGTAATGGAGGGAGACACCGGAAGAATGTTGGAAGCTCAAGTCGGACTTCTTTCCGTCCGTACGTACAGAACACAGTTCCAACAATGGTATTTTATCTTATCATTCGCGATATTCTTCTATCAGTGGCTTGACATTTCATCATTGATCAAGTTTAAATGGTTCATGCATTACAGCGAAAGGTGACAAGAGCTGTAAGATTAAGAATGAGGATATAGGTGGTACCACATTTAAAACACCCTTTGGGGAAGTGAAAGAGACGAATATTGCTGAGGTCACCAGAAATCCTCGGTTAGGAGAGTATGAGGAAATGTCAGAAAAGGTTTGTAATTTTAATCTAATTTACGTTCATTGAATAAACTAAAGCTTGGAAAATTGTAAGTCTTCTTGGGCCACAGAATAAGGGTAATTTAAAGGTTTAATTTATAAAATTTCCAACACATGTATTTGTAAAATATTTAGTCAACCCACAAAATATACAATATGAATGTTGTGTGTGACGAAGAATGTTGTATATTTATGATTTCCTCTATGTAACAAGTATTGTCATACAGAATGAATCGCCTGAAACTGTGTCGGATGAAAAGGTATTGGTTCTCGTTGTAGTGAATCTGATTGTAGTGCCTTTTAATGACTTTGATCTTGCTTTGTTTCTTTCAATGTAGCATGTAAACAATCTGTAAACTGCCTGTAAATGCTATTGATATGAGGCATCAGAATATTCAACCAAGATGATTAATACAATTTGAATTATTTTGCATGGCATGTATATTGTATGCCTTGAGATACTGCAGGAGGATTAGCTATCACTGTTAGACGACATGCACCGTAAGTCAACAGCTACTCAACAGAGACAAGCAGTGCCAAATTTTATACACATCTTTATGGTGAATAAAAAATGAATGTTTTGAATACTTACATAGCAATTCGCTTACATAGTAATAACAAGTTTAATTAATTAGTTTTACGTCAAATTGTGAACAAATAACGTGTTCACAAATCCTTCTGTGGGACTGTCGCAGCATAATATTTACGGTTGCGTTGCGCGCTAAAATTATTGATTGACTAAGTTGAAGTGTGTAGTTCACAGTGTGACATTTGAAAGTTTTTAAAATATTGTACGTTTCAGTTTGCCAGCTACTTAATTATTTTATATAAGGTTGCTTAGGACATAAATATAACAGCTACATTCAATCTTAATCTAATTTTAGTTTGTCATGCATCTTCTGTATTCACACACCACGCAACAGTCTTAGCTTTTACTGTTTACAACCAGCAATCCTGGGGCTGATTAACTAAAAATCAAAATACAAGGGATGAATGCGAAATTAGCGGATGATTTTCTTTAGTGACACGAAAATCAGAGAATGTTGATAATTGACATGTTTATCAACGCACAGTAACGTTAAAGTTAAGTTACATTATGAAAACTCCAGGACAGAGGGGCCAGCAGAGCCGGATACGATTACATCACACTTCCAACTCCAGCACCGACCTCGCCGATACATCGCACACATTGTGGGCATGCTTCCTGGGTCAATGTCTGTATTCCAGGTATGGGGCTATTTCATTCCTTACATGTTCAATTTAAAGCGCTAATGTTAGGTTCTGACAGTGAGTTTCGAGTTTTTCTTCTTTGTCTTTCAGTGGAGTTTGTGATTTAACAATCATGAAATGTATTTTTTATAACCCTAACCCCCCAGCTAATAGGCCTGATGATCCTCAAAAGGGCAAGTATATCTGTGTGAATTCTTCCATTCACTCTCTGCTTCAATGAAAATCTTTAATTTTTCTCTTAGAAATATTGTCTTACTGAAACTTCAATTGGCTGATTACCAAACCACTGAATGGACGGTTTGGGGGGGGGGGTACCAATGGCATAAATGGCATAATGGAGAATTGGCCAATAAAAATTTCCATTTATGCCATAAAACGTATGCCATTTATGCCATTTTTGATATAATACATTTCTATTTTCTTTATTTGTCATATGAATCTTTAACGATCATTCCAAGCGTTATAAAGCATAAAACATGTCTCTTCTTCAAGTACTAATAATAATTTACGAATTCAAAGTCAAATATGAAGACCTAAATTCATGGCATAAATGGAGAATTGGCCAATAAAAATTTCCATTTATGCCATAAAACGTATGCCATTTATGCCATTGGTACCCCCCGACGGTTTACACACAAGTGTAATGGACGGTTTATGGCTTTTAATTTACCTGGGAATGATTACCTTTATCATTGTTTATGCTTATTGCTTTATGTGCTTCTTATAATCGCCGCCGTGTGCATGCTGCTAATAAGTGCATGAAAAATGGAAATTGTAACAGTTTGCTTCCAATCGGGCTCTAAGAGCTACTAAACGAAAGAAATATAGTAAGTAGAATGAAAGGTGCTGAAAATTCGTCTTATTGTTGGATTCTCCAGCTTTTCCAGGACACGATATGATAGAACAGACATTGGAGTCAGAGGATGACGAGAGTGATTTAGTGGAGGAAGCTAAACCGAAAGCGAAGAAAAAGGGGAAGAACAGTCCTGCGACCACCAGAAAAGAGCGTTCTGCTACTCCAGACGTAGGAATTTATTAGATATTTTGTCTGCGAATTTTCCTCAAGAGAAATTCACTCTTAGGAAACAGATATGCTACTGGACCCGTCGTTTATCGAAATTATGGTTTAAAATGCATCATGAAACTAGGTTATGAGTAGTTAAATACCATAATATATTAATAGTTTGTCAACGGAAATATTTTTGTAGAAAATGAAGACTAAATTTTAACGGGATCGGTATTGTGTTCACGTATTAGCAGTTTCTGAAATATCAGTCCATTTAACTATCAGAAATTAAAAAGTGGAGAATTTACTATCGCCCAACAGTCTTCATTCCAGGATAGGGAGAAGTGGAAGAAAGAAGGACCCAGAGCAGAGAGGGACAAAGATCTACTTAAATATGCAGCCCCTGGAACTTATGTAATAAAGATCAGCGACGTTACAGACCCGAAATTCTTTGATAGCAATCTCGAGCCTATCTACATGAAGTTGAATATTCTGAAGATCAAGAAGTCGTCTAACAAGTACCTGCTCCCAAAGTCACCTGTTTCAAGCCGAAAAGCTGGATAGAAACGGGAAGCTCAGAATCTAATAAACTGTTTGAAAATTGAGTGTATCATTATTTGAGCGAACAGTGATATTTAAGCGAACAGTGAAGATGTCACAGTGAGAACTGAAACGAATATGTTGAATTGTTTTTGTACAAATAGCAATGGAAATCTACAAAATTATGTTGGCATTTTTCTCTCTAAAAGTGGAAACAAATCGCTACACAGAATCCTCAGAGAGGTCAAAATAATAAACAAACAAAAAACGCGACCAAACAAGTCAAATATTCATGCGATTAAGTGGGGCCAATTGTCCCCTCTCGAAACGAAAGTTGTACTTTTGAGTTCGATTTACAAAAATTCCGGGCATTCCAAGGAAACATTGCATCAGAGTCATGAAGGTTGCAACTGAGGAACAGGTCGAACAATTCGGAGAGCACATCCCTCACTAACGATACATTCGCCACTCGTCGCGTAGTGTGTCACCAAGTCGGTGATACTAACAAACTTCCTATCTCTCGTCCGGATCTGAAATTGTAATTTCATGAGTAGGCCATAGGGTCAATACAGTCCTGGGATGATGCCTGATGGAAGGTGATAACTGAATACTTAGGCATGTCATATTAATGGATGAACGATGATGTGTAACAACACTGGCTGTGAAGTGTGAGTTCTCTTCCCAGTTCACACATCAGGAGTCCTCAACCGCTCCTCGATCAACACATCACTCATTTCATTCAGTGACATGACGATTTACGCCACATTATGTACTTGTACATGTGCAGCAATAGAATGTGTACATCAGATACACGTAACAGAGAGTACACAAATTCCTGAGCGCCGCCGTCTCTACACGTGGTCAGAGAAGCAGACTACGGAGCAGGACTTCACCGTCCGAAGAGTGGCATCAGCCATTATGGCGTAGAATAGATAGGGTGGCCTGACCTATTAGGCATTTATGATTTAGTAGTAATTGATAACCGAAGAATGATTGGATCATCCAATCGATCTATCAATTTAATCTAATCTGTTATCCGATCCGGCCCAAACGCGTGCGCGCGGGCCGGGTGAAATGTGCTTATTTGCGCTACTGTCATAACAAAATTCTAAATCGGCGCTGCGCATTCCATATACGATAGTTCCGATGGAACCATATTGATTCAAATTAGATTGTGCTTGCGTCGGGACCTTATTTGGAAGCCATAACTAGTGGAGATAATTCAAAGATAACATTTGCCCGTCCTTATCTTTTAGCAGTTTGCGTGCGATCGGTGTCAAATGACTTATAATTATGAGCAAGTTTATGTAGGTTAAACATGCTCAAACGCAAACCTGCTGCTGTTCGGCTATCGAATACCTGGTGTACTTGCACCAATTTATATGATTTAAAATTAAGCTAATCTACTATTAAAAAACAACAAGTACTGGAAATTCGCTTGACTACCGCTCAAATTGTTGACAGAAACACTGTAAATGCCTTGACACGAGCAGACCCTTAAATCAAGACAGATACTTGATCAATCGTGAAAATGAATGGTGATTAATTAAACAGTTTAAAAGAAACTTCCGATAGAATGTTGTCTACAACTACTACTACTACTGATAGATGCTGGACGAAGAAGCCGTAATATTGAAACCGTTAAAATGTGACTAATGTGTGTAATAAGTATCGTTAAAACTTAATAAAAGTGCCGTTCAGTGAGAATTTTACCTGTCCGTGAGGGTCGACTAAGAGGAGGTGTCGAACATGTCCACTGTCCATGCAGCTCAGAACAAACTGTCCGTTACCATGGGAACGGACCAGATAGTCTCCTTGGTATTTGAGGCGTCGCTCTGCTTCCTCTCGGCATATCTTGCCGTGAAACCAGCTCATTTTACTGTCTGGAATTGTAATTATGTTACTGAAAACTCTAATCGGTAAGTGGCACCTCTGTATTTTACTAGGAACAAAAGATTGTGTGTGCAGTTGTAATTAAAAGCCTTTTTATTGTTATTTAAACGATAAATCATTTATACACATTTCAAACATAAAATTATTCTAACAATCAACCACGAACAATAAAATATACACAGACCCTCATAACTTCATAAAACCCATCGACCGTTCGGGTACACGTACTCAAATTCGACACGCACTCTACTTCGACACGTACCATACTTTATATTATCACAAACGATTTGGCTGCTGAATCGGAAACAGTCGGAAATCAATCTATTTTCCTGTTAGCTAAACCAGAACCGAGTGGCAAACAGGAGAATTAAAACTATACTGAAAGATTCTGGAATTTCTAACAGCTGTTTGCTAGATGTCAGAAAATTGTTTTATCTGCCATTGAACCCTGTGATCCTATGATGAGGACCCGGCGATAGCCGTTGGATCACAAGCAGAAACTATTTGTCGAACTAGAGTACGCTACCTGGACTGTAGTTCGACACGTACTGAAGTTCGACAGGGGTGATATCTGGCGAACTTAAGTTGTCGAACTACAGGGTTTTGAAACATTGCGTGTCGAACTAGAGTGAGTAAATCGACCGTTCACTAATAAACTACATTTTAAATTTAAGGCAGATACAAATTGAGCTTACATGGGTTCACAGGTTTCTGTTGAGAATTCTTTTCAGAAGATATTTCATCCAAGCTGCATTCCAGAGCTTCTAAGTTCTTTCTCAGTTCCTCAGGCGTCGCACGCACACTTTCCTCTAAAAACGTTTGAGTATAAGAATTATGATCGGAAATTGAAGGAATTATATAATCAAAGTGATGAATACAATATACAAGAGTTTAATAATCATCGAGACGAATAAGAAGAAACAAAACCATTAACGCGGTAATAGGCTGCTTCTATTTAAAGGGTCGAGCTCTATTAGTCCATTAGTCTATTAGTCTATTAGTCTATTAGTCTATTAGTCTATTAGTCTATTAGTCTATTAGTCTATTAGTCTATTAGTCTATTAGTCTATTAGTCCGTTGGTCTAAGTAAATAAAAAAGGGTCCAAATGTGAGCTCACACAGTGCACAATGCACGGTGTACATTGTAACGGAATTTGTGTCTGTCAACAATGATCATCAGCGTTGATTTGCAAAACAAGCGATTATCACAAAGTTTATTAAAGTACGTGACAACAGAAAGGGGTCAGGACACAAAATAGTACGAAATAACGGAGAGAATAACGAAATAGAGGCGGGTGTAGTTTCCTGACATAGTAATTTCACTGCCCAAAGTCGATGTAAAGTTAGTGTTGACATGGTATTAGGGTGGACGATAAGGCACAGAAGTGGCAACAGTGAAATTCGGGTGCTTTACAGATAGCGTCTTGGCACGAGAACAGATGAGAAATGATAATTTGAGGGGTAACGTTAGGGGATTTTCCGGAGGAATAATTCTCATTTCCGTGCAAGATAAGTACCCAGGGACTATCACCCTGCTGGCAGGTAGGTTTAGTCTTCAGTTAAAAGTTTAACTTTAAACCCCAGTGCTCCCTTCCTGCTGTTAGCTCACCGGTAAGCAGCTGTTGTATCTGGTAAGTTTTATAGATCAAGCCATACATGATAATTGTCCAAATACCAAATGTGTCAGGTGGTGTGGATGGCCACCCCTGACACTCTCTACAATTTGAACGCTAAGTCAGTCACGGGGATGTGGTGGGATACGGGAGATAGTTTGGACTGTAGCAAAATTTTGAGATTTGATGGGTGATGAGAAAGGGCTGAACGTTGATGACAGCTAAAGTATGTTAATTACCATGGTGGAGTTTACATGTCGGCTCACTTTGCTGGGAACCGGAAGTTTTGTATTTTGTAGCCGAACCTTCCGAAATGTTATCTTAAAAAGGATTTGATCTATTTAAACTTGACGACAGAGGTTATGTCTCGAATTAGAGCGAAAGGAACGCAGATTTTTAGATCAATAAGTTTCTGTCAGTTACATCTGAATTCTGAACTTTAGTGACTTGTCAAGTTTCAAAATAGCGTTAACTAACGACCTTAAAGTTAACTACAAGCACAAGAATTTGACTACCCTCTAATTCTATTTAACTTAAATACGAATTTGATACAAGAAAGAAATAAGCATCAAATAAAAGTTGGTCATACACGAATAAAAACAAGCTGTAAACGAACAACATGTGATTTCAAGTAAAGCGACAACTAAACGACTTCTAAAACTCGCGACTCAACCATATTATATAATACACAGCACGACAACCTCCATTTTAACACAGGTGTTGGAACCCGTAAAATAGCCTAAGCAGTGACAGGTACTTCACGGCTACTACCGACAAAGGCATCATACTCTGATATCACACTGATATTTATATATCAGATAACAAGATGGCTGTTTATATAAGACAGAACAGGAACAATGGAACATTAATTATAGATTTGGCCAAGCTATATTATTGGGTAGAAAGGCACGAACCTGGTTACGAATATAAAAAGAAATGACTAAATTTCGATTGACTGTCTGAGTTCTAACAGGATAAAAAGTATTCTGATATAAAAACTAGAAGTTTAGGAACCAACATTTCGTGCGGCGGGGGTACTATAATTGTTAACACGTTTATGGTCACCGGTCTGATTCAGACAATCTCGAACGTTACCGTGAGGTCACATAACTCGAGAAGTTTCCTTATGACGTCATAAATTTCGAGCAACCGGGTCTAATTTTGGAAAGATAATCTGTAAAGGAAATAAAAGAAAAGTCACACGAGTGAAATCGGATTGTGAGTAGTAAACCATCGCAAATGATCTGAGAAAAAGAAACCAGAAAAACTAACCAGGATTAACACCAGAAGAGCCGCTATCACTTGCTGCGCCGTGAGTCTGTCTCTCCACCTCATCAATGTTAGCGTAGATAGGGATCTTAGGACGGGGTGGTTTCACAGGAGCAGTTTTAAGAGGAGCAGAGTGCGGGGCTGGTAGAGTTTGGGGCGCCGTTCGAGTGGGTGATAGGTTACTGTCTGGGGAGTGTGGTGGTACGTCTTCTGACCGGTCTGATGACTCCATCACCTCCGATTGTGCCTTCCTCCTGCCTCCTATCTGAAGTTATACTCGGTTAGCTTACTTGGGAATAACTTAGAAATAAGTCGGATTCAATTCTGTAAAATAATTTTCTATCTCTAAAAGTTTATGATAATAAAATAATTTGAGCAGCCAAACAAGCGATGAATTGTAAGTAATTCATTATAAATGTTCATAATAATCTTTCAAAGTTATTTAACAAGCAATAATTTTCCATATAACAGTATGTGTACAACGGATTACGACACGTTCACAATTTAAGGATTTACCGTTTCGCCAAAGCTAACAGCGCAGAATAAGAAATGTGGCACATGCAAAAGTCAAAGCACAGCACAATGCACAGCTTTATAGCGTAATCTAGTCTTTAGCAAAACAAACATAACAGTCAAAAAGAGATAGTTTTGAATACGGTGGTCATTTCTACTAACCACAATTCAGCTATGCAGCAGCTCTTAGTCATTATTCATGACAAGATAAGATTTTATTTACAGACTCATCTGAGTAAACTTTTGATTGCCTCCAACTACAAGCAAGGAGGAGAAATGATCATTGCTAATTTTTTGTAGTTAAAAACAGTTAGCAAGATTGTTTGGTGACAATGACGCAGACATTTTTATTTTAAAAACACTAAATATTAACCTTAATTGCTTTTGAACCTCTCTGATTTATGTAATCCATCCTGACCAAATCAAACATCGAATCCATCTCCAACAACATCCAAGAAAATACCCTACAAACGGTTTGAATTTACTAGCAGTAATTAATGAAACTCAGGTCTACAACTACTCAACACGTAATTTTCTCTTGACTAAAACCGAAAATGACGTGCGTAAAACGACCGGCAAGAATTAGGCTGAGCACGGCATGTCAACTCGTTAACACAAAGAAACACTGATCAAGGAGGAGAAAAGAGAGGAGCTCCGGAGCTGTGATAAAGAGAAACTGAACACAAAACAGCGGCCGAATAGTCTACAACCCACGCACACTCACTCTAATCAACACTGGAGCCAGCAACACGGGAATATGCACTTTATCGGTAGCAACTACACCTTGCTAAATTTGATACATGTATATAAGTATGATGAGGAACAATTCCCACGGTTTCCCCCTAGTGATCTCAACTTACTGCTAACAAAAGATGATCAAACTGCTGTAGAGTGGTTTGTACCCAAACACCGATCCAGACCGGAGACAATGTCGTCAGAGCGGATATTAATTATGAATTATAACGCCTTGTACAATAACACAGAGATATGACGCGGAGTACAAAGCCGGACACCAGTCCTACGACAAAGGATGAATTAATAGCTACATAAGAAAGGGTTTACTACAATATGGAGAGGGGGAAGCCAGGGTAAACAGTAAACCGACACATCTAGAGACAAAGGCCACATCGTGGTCCGATTCAGTGAGGACTAATTTAGTGAGAGAGGGCTAGTTCCTTGGATACTCCAGGGACGACCTTGTTATCAAGTTACCGAACAATGCTGGGAATACGGGAATTACTCTCAATCTGACTTTTAAAGAGAGGGTAAGATAACAATATACAGGTGCAAGTTATCTTATTAAACCGGTAGATTATATGCCGCATAATTGTATTGGGTGTATTTTACGGGGAGGTGTGTTTGGCAGAATGCCAATTCTAATCTTAGTCCTTACCTTGAAACAGTTTCGTAGAACAGTCATCTGTCAGGGCTACTGAGTACTACATAAAACAAACAGCGTACCAAGGGTAAATAAACTAAGGTAGGCAGAAAACAGGGGCTGGAGGAAGTTGAAAGAGATGAGGAATTAGGCCAAATATGGTAGGATGCAGGAGTCACGTGATTACCATATTTGGTAAAATGCAGGAGTCACGTGAGCATGTGGCCGTCTTATCTTACCTGACTTTAATTCGCAGCTCTTATGACTCTAGTTAATGTGAGGCAGTGTAATTAGTGGTCGGCAAGTCACCCTGAACATTGATTTATCTCCCCGTGTAATGTGAACTGTAACTTAAGACGACAACTTTCAGAAACTTTTCACTGCAATGAAAATGTGGGAAACCTCACCACATCGAGTTTCTGAAGATGTTTTGCGAGACAGCAACACAAATAGAAAACAACAAAATACGCCCATGCTCATTGACAGATCTGTTCTTTAGAAATACAAAGTCAGCAATCTTGCAACCAAAACGTCACTTCATACTCCTTGTATACGTGCGTTATAGTACGAATGACCCAGGTTTCGAGATATTACCGAAAAGATGAGACGTATTTCAGACGACTGTCAGTCTGCCAGTTTAACCGGGTAATCTTGCTTGACAATGATTTTACTAATCAAGTGAATATAAGCACGCTGCTTAGAGACGAAAACATAGTTAAACTGGTCATATTGTATCATATTGTATGGTACCTTATAATTATTAATGTTATATCATAGAATCACGTACGGTAGCTAACATACCGAAGCTGGCTTCACTAATTCAGCTTAAGTGACATTTGGTGCTTCATTGCTGGGACCTGTCAATATGTTCTGATTCTAAACCGTTGGAAATATAAATACACTTCGGTCACACCCACATACATACAAGATTTAGAGAAATCCTAGGAAACAAGCTATCTAAGGCCTTTGTAGACGGATCTAACTTACGGGTGACAGGTTATTTAAAGGAATCTGACCAAACCCTCGCCCTCGTTTGATAGGAACTCAATTAATCACAATGTTGTTTTATGTTTAACTTAGTAACATTTAAACTTACAATATCTCCCACCTTACCATTATAATAATATCTGTTAAATATGACAAATATTTGGCCTGTATCGAACAATAAATCGTCAAACAGGCGGATGGGGTGGGGATCTTTGTCGCCATCTGGTCGATCAAATTCATTAAAATCTTTTAAAATTTGATACACTGCCTGGTGCACGCACTGTGCATAGCGGATATGGTATGATATTCTCGCTTAATCACTGTCTGCAGTGACATCAAACAGCACTTCTTACCGTTTACAATCAATTACAATCCAATTATCTGTTAATTAGGGTAATTAGCCCTGCACACACGAGTACTTTGCCGGTTTTCTCAGCTCTGAGACCTGGATCAGTGGCTCTGATCTCCCACTCGGAATAATTCAACAGATCTGGTGGAATATAATAGGTGTAGCTCCACACTAATTACAGGGAGATTAGCGGCCCTACTTCAGTAGGTGTTGCCTCTTTAGCCTGGCTCGTGACGTAACAATGTGACCCCAGAGAGAACTGAGTACCTTCAGTTATCCTAGACTCATCACCCTCTCAAATACTGCCATGTCACTTTACGTGATTTAATTTGTAACAGAGTAGCAGGTTGACGTTTGAGGGACGATTCTACGAAAAGCCCTAATTTGGAGAGGCTACCTCGGCAACAATTATCTCATCCCAGTGCTAGGTACGCGAAAAGAGAGGCGTTTATCCTGACTTTTACTTCTGACGTACATATTATATTATGTTAAAAGCATAAACATAAACACCTTACCATGACATAACAATTGAAACAGTGGACTCAACTAACACTCAATATAGTCACTAACTACCACCCAATATAGTTGAGACTCAGGAGGGTACGGTACAATTGAACTCCTTTCTAAACCCCTCTTCAATACCCGTTAATTATCTAAATAATGACCTCGCGCTACAGTTAAATAACATGTATCATACGGGCTGTAGTTTACGGGGTAGTAGGGCTTCACCCCCAGAATGTCAAATAACGAGTGTGTTCAAACCAAAGAAGATCTCCACACCTCTACCCGCTGTAAAGTTGATGTCACGCTCCGGAGGTATGGTTTGGAGTTCAGAGTAATCCCACAGCGAGAACAGCGCTAAATAATATGACTGTTCTCACCATTAATGTATGGTATTAGAAGCTGCTATAATGGAAGGGTAGCTGATGTATTTACCCGATTGTTTTGACAGTGACCCAGGTTATCTCTTTATCTGTAACGACTGTATCCATGTGCATCACCTCCCACCCCATAGCAGTTCAACATAACGTGTAATAAGTTAATTATTGTGACGTAATTTGGGAGAGTTAAATATGGCAGGGAGGTGGTCGCGGTGGAGGCGGAAGTGGTAGAAGTGCCTTGTATGATTCTGTAAAGTAAGGATATCTGTCAACTACGAGAAGTCTAGGGTTTTAACTGAGAATGTAGGTTTTATAGGCCCAGTTTGTACATTTTACACCTACACACAGTTTCGGTACATTCAGAGCGATATAAGATGTAGAATATATTAGATCATGTACCGGTTTTAGGAAGAAGTGAGAAGTGTCACTACCTTAGTATGCGTGCTACTTTTAAATAGTATATTGAAATTGCCACGAGTGATCTGGCTGTACAGAAAAGTGTAAGACTATACTTTATTATATGCACTATGACAATATTACACCCATTTTTGATAAAGGAGGTGGAGCTCAGAATTTCATTCATTTAGGGCGAACCTTTATTGTTTATGTACAAGGCGTGGAAGCTATTAATATGGAAATAAACCATGTTTGGCATTCAAGTAATTATTTCGATCCAGAGGTGAGGTGATTAACAAATTACCTGAATACCCCTAGATGTGAGCAAGTGAGCACTGTAAAACGATAACTTTGCAGAGGTATGTACCACGGACCAATCGGTAAATGTCCATTTCATCCTCTTATTTGAGACGCTATTAGATTTGCTTTATTCCATAGAGCCATAGTAGCTGTGTATGCAGAGGTAAAATACACAATCTTTCCTTTTTGGTTTATATTAACGGTCCTAAAGTGCAGTTAACCAATTCCGCCGTGAAAGTTTGGACTATAAACCGCCACGATTGGAGGACCGAATCTCTGCCGCCAACCTTAACTATATCCCTAGCCTAAGTAACATGCAGCATTGTGCGATAAGTAGTAACTTAGTAAGTACGAACAGCAGATCATAGTTCACAACAAATAAAACAATAGGCACCCACCAGTCCAGGACTGCTTGGAGGAGAGGGACAGTAGTTTGTCCGGGGCCAACAATTACTCTCCTCCGGCTTAGGAATGTAGAAAATGCTGTTCTCCACCTTTCTGGGGAGCAGGGCGGAGTTGCTAAGCTTGGGGGTGCTGACCACTGCTTTACGGGGCAAGTTCTCGTAGAGTAGAGGTAAGTTCTGTTCACTTTTACTTCCGGTCAGCTGCCCCATATCTGATAGCTGGGGAGTCATGATGGTGATATCACGGGCAGTGTTGTGACTGTATCATGTGTTGTTGTGTTTTGTATGTCTATTCCTGCACCCTGTTTAACTATGCTAAGGTTATTATCGTATCTTGTATCTGCTCAACAAGTTGCCTTTCTAAGAGTTTATCTTACCGTTTATAAAGTCACATGAGTCGACTGTCACTATAAGGCTACAAAACTAGGCATTAGTAATCTTACGGATTTATAAGGCGGGAGACTTTGTGTACACTGTTATATAACAGAGAGTTGTATCTAACAAGAGAGTTGTTGGTGAGGTGTGTTTAACATATCGTGACACCTCAACAACAGTTGGGGAGGATGTATCATACCTTGTTGGCTGCGGACAGTTGATTATTCTGTGCTGTGTTCTCACTCTCTTCAAATATACTCTGGAAGAACCTGAGAAGAGTTGAGAGTTATGTCATGAGCGAGATCATCTGAGAGAGACCTTATCACGTCATAGAACCCGACAACACTTTTATAAGGTTGCTATTAGTGGGTACCGGGCTCCTTTCTAGTATTTATAATTGAGTGACGTAACCCTGGAAATTAAGTCATATCCTACACTGCTAGGTGATATTACACTAAGTGAAAAGGCCACCGTACTACTGTCTCCACACCAATCTTGAAAACCGTATAGTTATATATAACTAGCTGCAGAGTGGAGATAAATCTATAAATCGTCGAGGTAAGGATTTAAACACAGGTTGTCAATTGTAAAAGATCGTCCATGATTTGGTAAATTGAAGGGGCAACAAAACAAGAACAAAAAATGAAAGCAAATAAAAGAGTATAAATAACAAACAAACACAACAACAGAGTATAATTACTCCTTGTCAATAAATAAAAGATTACCCTTAGATTTTAGAACGATTGTTGAACAAAAGATTGAACTAACCCAGTGTTAACCTCTATAAACTCGAATGATCCCGAGTTACACTGGCTATGTTTACTCAGGACATCCTCGTATTTGATGGAGAACGCCTCCCCCACTGTAGAGACCACATCATGGGCGTCCCCAAAACAGTTAAACACGTGACATGCTGAAAAGGGTTAATGTAAGTTGGAACTTGTAAATGGTGTGTAAAATGATTTGAGATTTGTAAATTTCCAGTTCTTTTATTTGCTTAAAAATTGTGTAAACTCACAGATGAACGGGTTAATAAGGGTTTTAAGCGAATTTTCTAATATATTCATCCTTATGTTATATAGCTATCATTTATAATTGATTTTACATAATTAGTAATTACTCACATCTCCCTCTGGCAGGATCTTTTGCAACGTAACCCACAAATGACTTGAACGGCTGATAAAAGAATGACGTCATCAAGAAATGGTATTTTAGTCAAGGTACCTCATTCTAAACTATTTCTCATTCTAAATCATTTCTTCAGAAAATGTGTTTAAAGCCAATCACTCACCGTTTCCCCACAGCTGGCGAACGATATTGAAGACATCGAATGATTCATCAGTATCTGAAAACAAATGGTGTAATAATTGAGAGCTTTAGCACATGCTTTTAATTTTCTGATGGGTTCATGAGCCCCTTCAACTCTTAAACCGACTTCATTTTCGGTCTAACATTTTTGATGTGTTTCTGAAGAAGTGTAATAGAATGCTAGGAATGTTTAATCTAATTAGCGTGGTGTTACTTCTCACAAGCATCAAATAACACCAGCTTTGTACAGTTTTCAAACTGTGAAATCTACTTGGTCATTATCGGCAGCAGATTGAGAAAGGAATGTTACAAGTTTTGAAATATTCACCAAAGAAACAGAAGATTTACCTTGCCGTTATCACTTCTTTGAGCTTTGAGACCGGCCAGTGACACTGTGAAGTTAACCCCTATCCTGTTTACATCGGGAGGCTCTGAAATTAGGCAAAAAGTTTAACCAAGTTCAGCCTGAAAGCCTAAAAGTAAGAACAGTCACAAGGCGAATAAATTGGCAAACAGCCTAACTTATCAACTTGTGGGAAAATTTAATTTATATAATATACTGTTGGATACGAGCCCAGGACAGGGGAAAGAGTTACTTACGAGTCAAAATCTTGTTGATCTGTTTAATGCCCTTGGGACGTTTCATATCTTGTTTCATACACTGGGCCGCAGTACATACTTTAACAATGGCTTCCCTGTAAAAAAAGAGTGTGAACTCATATTATGTGAATTTTAAAAATAATGTTAAATCAACATAATATTGCTTTGGTGGAAAGTTTCCAGAACTGTAGGATATAGGTTTAAAATCTAGATCATAGATGGTGCACTGATTTATAACAAAAAGAGTATCTTACTTGGTGACAGCAGTCCTCATCTCATATGGGAGTGTTCTCATAGACCTATCGACTGTTATACTTCCAATATACTGAAATTAACCATACATAATTTGTGATAACGGTTACGCGGATGGCTAGATATCTGATTTTTATTTTTCTCCCTTTTACAACTTTTACGATACAATAATTTATTAATCACCAAAACACCAAAAGCATAAATTTGTTACTTTGGTTGTTTTTGTTAACTTTTTATGATACAATATCGAGAGAAAGGCCTAATGCAGAACTGCTCTCATGTATCAAATGGCAGATAAATCTGTATTAAAGATTATAGCAATGAGGTCAAAAATGAAATTTGTATTTTCTATTATTTTTATAACAGGGTCAATATCATTGCTCTACCCAGTTTCAGTTAAAATGTCCTGAAAACCTGCAACCCATAATTAGATTAGTTGTTTCACCCGAAGAATAAAACAAAAGACCAAACGATTTGGAACTTACCACAGTATAAAAAGCAACCTCTTTGTTGCATATCAGTTCTTTGGTGTGCTTCTCTCTTCTTCGTGTAGCCATTTTCCCTAATAATGGTAATTTTTAAGAGTGAATAAATTTATTTTATATGATTAATATGGTGACAAAAACTGAGGAACTCCACAAAATCGAAAAAAACCGTATTGTTCGGCTGCAAAACTATAAAAACCAAAGTCACGTGACAATTTTTGGGCGAGCGAATCAGTAAAAGCCAGTCATGACAGTATGGCGCCGTCCACTGTCCAAAAATTTGGTTGCTGATTCCGAAAAATACATTAACATTTAACATGCATTAGTACTACATCAGCGATATTTGATTTTAGATGGATTATTTTGTATTTACTTTAACATTTAACAGGATATATGCACGTTAATTTTTATAACTGTTATCGTTCTTCAGAATAAATGGTATCTAACATTGATGATGAATGTGCTCAATCACTCTACTTCTAGTTCTATTCTCAAACTTCGAGATTTTTCTTAAAGAGCCCCCGATAGTTGAAACCGACTTAAATCGATTTATTTTTAAACTCTGATAGTGATTACGAATTTTCCCTCATGATATAATAGTGTTAAAATACTACTGATCTGGCGAGTTATCGGCGAAAAACTGTTTTGATCACGTGAAATGACCATATAATGACTTATTATTAATATTATTTTTTTTTACGTTGGTTTGGCAGGATTGCTTCTGGACAACAGTAACTAGTACGTTCTCCAATCATTCCTGGTTCAAATATTTCTGTAGATTCCATTCCAAGAGTGAGTTGTTGGTGATGGCGGTGTATCCTTTGGTTGGCGGGGTATCGGGAAACGAGAAATTAAACTGACTTCCTTATATTAGTCAGTCTAATTTATCGTTCAAAGGGTTAGGAATTTAGCATATTATATATATGCTTCAGTTAGGGTTGAGGTTGGGGTCAGAGTAGAGGCGGTTAAAGTTTTGATTAGTCACTCATGGCCATCAAAGAACGTGTTTAAGTGAGGCACGTGATAGTCGAGTGTAGAGTAGCTTCAGTTTTCTGAATTCCTCTAGTGAGCAGTAAAGAGATCAGTCCCCTGACTATCGTTATAAACAGTTTAAATAATACACTTTTTTTTGTCGAACAGCAGTTCATTTCATAATGAATGATAAAGGCATTTGCAAGAAAAGACTTATATTTTAGAAACAAATGACAGATTATATACGCATCGCCATCAGCTCATTTTAGATTTTTTTTCTCATCACAGCATTTTGATTTGACGACATTCCATTTTCCAGGATGAGAACCCTCTTCTGCTTACTATCAGTGCTCTCACTGACCTTGAACATCGTTCATGGCGCCCGTCAGAAAAAAGACAAAAGGTGCAAGAAAAAATTATACAATACACTGGAAACGTGTCAGAAGAAGCAGGGTGAATATAAGTTATCATAGATTCCTTTTAGACTAGCTCCAGTAAGAATCTCTCAATAATGCCATGTGTAATGCATATGCAGTTTAATCTAGTTCTACAGTTAAATTCGTTACAATGACAATAATTTCTAAAGGTTGGTCCTCTTCTGATGAAAAGTTTAGCTGCAACAACCCGAAGGTAGGGGACAAAAAGGAGCTGAGTAAAAAGAAAAAGAAAAAATGCCTGAATGCACTCAAGAAGCTACTAAAAGCTTCTTGTACCGCCAAGTGTAAATTTGGTATGTTGATAAAGAGCATATTTGTTTATTAAACGCATATTATCCATAATATTAATAAGTACCTTTATCTCTTCATTATAACTTCTGATAGAAAAACCAAAATTATAAACCAATGCACTTCTGAAAATACTTAAAGTTACCGACAAGCAATTTACTTATTCTTCTCTCAGTCTCAGTTGATGGCGGTTGGAACGACTATGAGGACTGGTCTGCGTGTTCTGTAGAATGTAACGAAGGAAGTCGAACTAGGAGCAGATCCTGTACCAACCCTGCCCCATCATATGGTGGTGCTGACTGCAAGGGAGATTCTGAAGAAAAAGAAACTTGTAACACTGATCTTTGTCCAGGTATCAGGTTATTTTTCTTTCTTTCGAAATCAGTGCTTGGTCTGAGGTCATCAACCTACAAGCCCTAAATTTGCAACAAGGCCATAGTCTCCAAGGGAGTCTAAACTCAGATCTAGTTCGGAAAGTACCTGTTATTAAACTAAGCAAACAACTGAGATATCTCTCAAAACATAGACAAGATTTAGTTAACCATTGATGCCGTTAGAGTTGAAAAGAAAATTACGACCCTCTTATGGTATAAAAGTATTAAGTAACGTTGTGTTGCAGATATTGAATGTTGGAACAAAGATAATCCGCTCACGATGGGATCTGGGTATAGAGGAACTCTTTCCGTGACTATGGGTGGTCACACCTGTCAGAAATGGACTGAACAATCACCTTATGAGCATGTTTACACTGTGGATAAATTTAATGACAAAGGAATAGGTGACCACAACTACTGTAGGAACCCAGATGGAGAAGATGACAATTACACCGAACTTGAAGCATGGTGTTACACAACCTCACTTACCAAACGTTGGGACTGGTGCGAAATCCCTACATGCCATACAGCAGGTTAAGATTTTGAGTTCAGCAGTACTTTAGCACAAAATTTCTTATTGTGACCTGAGATTAAATTGACCTCACTTTTTCGGCTTAAAGGACGTCTTTTAAAATCCTAATCGTGGACAAGAAAGGTCAAGTATCCCAAAAAAGAGCCGTCTAAAAAAGGGCCAATAAGCTACAGTTTGATTAGAAAAACTCCTTCGTTCACTAAGACAATGCAATTCTAAAAAATCATAAGGTTACCGACAAGCGATTTACTTTTGAAGGGCTCCTATTCTTATCTCTCAGCTGATGGCGGTTTTACTTATTCTTCTTTCAGTCTCAGTTGATGGCGGTTGGACCGACTATGAGAACTGGTCTGCATGTTCTGTAAAATGTAATGGAAAAAGTCGAACTAGGAGCAGATCCTGTACCAACCCTGCCCCATCATATGGTGGTGCTGACTGCGAGGGAGATTCTGAAGAAAAAGAAACTTGTAACACTGATCTTTGTCCAGGTATCAGTTTATTTTTCTTTCTTTCGAAATCAGTGCTTGGTCTGAGGTCATCAACCTACAAGCCCTGCATTTGCAACAAGGCCATAGTCTCCAAGGGAGTCTAAACTCAGATCTAGTTCAGAAAGTACCTGTTATTAAACCAAGCAAACAACTGAGATATCTCTCAAAACATAGACAAGATTTAGTTAACCATTGATGCCGTTAGAGTTGAAAAGAAAATTACGACCCTCTTATGGTATAAAAGTATTAAGTAACGTTGTGTTGCAGATATTGAATGTTGGAACAAAGATAATCCGCTCACGATGGGATCTGGGTATAGAGGAACTCTGTCCGTGACTATGGGTGGTCACACCTGTCAGAAATGGACTGAACAATCACCTTATGAGCATGTTTACACTGTGGATAAATTTAATGACAAAGGAATAGGTGACCACAACTACTGTAGGAACCCAGATGGAGAAGATGACAATTACACTGAACTTGAAGCATGGTGTTACACAACCTCACTTACCAAACGTTGGGACTGGTGCGAAATCCCTACATGCCATACAGCAGGTTAAGATTTTGAGTTTAGCAGTACTTTAGCACAAAATTTCTTATTGTGACCTGAGACTAAATTGACCTCACTTTTTCGGCTTAAAGGACGTCTTTTAAAATCCTAATCGTGGACAAGAAAGGTCAAGTATCCCAAAAAAAGAGCCGTCTAAAAAAGGGCCAATAAGCTACAGTTTGATTAGAAAAACTCCTTCGTTCACTAAGACAATGCAATTCTAAAAATTCATAAGGTTACTGACAAGCGATTTACTTTTGAAGGGCTCCTATTCTTATCTCTCAGCTGATGGCGGTTTTACTTATTCTTCTTTCAGTCTCAGTTGATGGCGGTTGGACCGACTATGAGAACTGGTCTGCATGTCCTGTAAAATGTAATGGAAAAAGTCGAACTAGGAGCAGATCCTGTACCAACCCTTCGCCGTCAAATGGTGGTGCTGACTGCAAGGGAGATTCTGAAGAAAAAGAAACTTGTAACACTGATCTTTGTCCAGGTATCAGTTTATTTTTCTTTCTTTCGAAATCAGTGCTTGGTCTGAGGTCATCAACCTACAAGCCCTGCATTTGAAACAAGGCCATAGTCTCCAAGGGAGTCTAAACTCAGATCTAGTTCAGAAAGTACCTGTTATTAAACCAAGCAAACAACTGAGATATCTCTCAAAACATAGACAAGATTTAGTTAACCATTGATGCCGTTAGAGTTGAAAAGAAAATTACGACCCTCTTATGGTATAAAAGTATTAAGTAACGTTGTGTTGCAGATATTGAATGTTGGAACAAAGATAATCCGCTTACGATGGGATCTGGGTATAGAGGAACTCTGTCCGTGACTATGGGTGGTCACACCTGTCAGAAATGGACTGAACAATCACCTTATGAGCATGTTTACACTGTGGATAAATTTAATGACAAAGGAATAGGTGACCACAACTACTGTAGGAACCCAGATGGAGAAGATGACAATTACACCGAACTTGAAGCATGGTGTTACACAACCTCACTTACCAAACGTTGGGACTGGTGCGAAATCCCTACATGCCATACAGCAGGTTAAGATTTTGAGTTTAGCAGTACTTAAGCACCAAATTGCTTGTTGTGACCTGAGACTAAGTTGGTCCAGATCTGACCTCACTTTTTCGGCTTTAAGGACATCCTTTGAAAATCCTAATCGTGGACAAGAAAGGTCAAATATCCCATAAAAGAGCCGTCTAAAAAAGGGCCAATAAGCTACAGTTCGATTCGAAAAACTCCTTTGTTCACTAAGACAACGCAATTCTGAAAATTCATAAGATTACCGACAAGCAATTTACTTATTCTTCTCTCAGTCTCAGTTGATGGCGGTTGGACCGACTATGAGGACTGGTCTGCGTGTTCTGTAGAATGTAATGGAGGAAGTCGAACTAGGAGCAGATCCTGTACCAACCCTTTGCCGTCAAATGGTGGTGCTGACTGCAAGGGAGATTCTGAAGAAAAAGAAACTTGTAACACTGATCTTTGTCCAGGTATCAGTTTATTTTTCTTTCTTTCGAAATCAGTGCTTGGTCTGAGGTCATCAACCTACAAGCCCTGCATTTGCAACAAGGCCATAGTCTCCAAGGGAGTCTAAACTCAGATCTAGTTTGGAAAGTACCTGTTATTAAACTAAGCAAACAACTGAGACTGCAAGGGAGATTCTGAAGAAAAAGAAACTTGTAACACTGATATTTGTCCAGTACCAGGTCAAGTACCAGGTGATTATCATTGTTATATGTTGTCTATTATATAATACATGTTATAGTTTGTTCCACCGCATATTTATTCTTATGTTTATGAACATTAAAGCCTGTGGTCCCCAGGTAAACTGACTACAGGGAGCTGGGAACCAGTGATACGTAGGGAGCGGATTCCCTTCCAACTTGAGACGATACCCCTTTACATAGACAGTAATGGTCTGGTGGAACTGAATAGTGAATATGTTGTTTCTGTGTTTTTTCTCTCTCCTTATGGAAACGATGTAGGGGGAATCGGTATCACGTTTAAACATTCTTTACCCCGTCTTTTTCTCTACTATTGCACTTACACTCAGCCCATGATACCTTCTACAACTACTATGCCCACCACTACTGACAACATTTGGAAGATAACCATAGTCAAAAGCGAAAGTATCAGAGTAGTTATACACTACAATGACTTAGAAATGTGGAACGTGGAGCTACTCAATCACTGTACGGAACCTAGCTGGGAAAATGACTGGAACAAAGAAATAGCATATATTGAATTTGACTCCGACGACACAGTATCAGATTATTGGAGGGGGTAACATGTCTGCCAATGTCCACCTATAATGTCCTGTCCTTTTTGGGTTCTATGAGACAACGGACGTGTTTTTTAGGACATTAGCGGACATTGACGGACATTGGTGGGCTCGGAAGGACATTGGCGACATTAACGAACAAACATTATGAGAATTTTTCACACATGATTTGGACACACTATTTTCGACTAATAATGAACAGGGTAGCATGAAATGTGGAGAAATGTGGTTTTCAGAAAAACTTTGAAAAAGGGGTAGGTGCATACTTCGATAATCGAAGGATATGACTCAGACCGAAAATTTATTCGAAGTCAAAATTTGTTCAAAGTTTTTCTGGAAACTAATTTTGTTCACGTTTTATGCTTCCCTGTTCATTATCAGCCGAAAATAGTTTTTCGATTTTCGAAGTCTGCAACCACTTTTCAATACACAATTTTGGACTCCAGGCTTCCCCCGGTAATGCGGGCCCCCCTATGCAGCACGAGCTCGGAATCGGGAGCTCTCGATACGGGAGGTACGTATTGAGAATGAATCGGCCCAATTGAAATAATTCTTTCTGGAATGACTTACTACAATCACTGGTTCAAGGAATTTGTCAAATCGAAAAATTTTCGTGTTCATTTTTTTCAAATGAAGGTTTATTTTCGCATTTATTTGATAGTTTGGATAGTCGGATCGAGCCAAATTTTATTGAATTGTGTTTGGTCATTCGAATTACGTTTGTCCTGAAACAATGAGAGTTCTAGCTTCTCAGATGACCGAGATATTAAGAATAACGAGTTTGTTCATTGCGTGTGATCATGTGATTGGGTTGATGCTAGATCCACATAATGGGAATCGTGCAGAGAGCCCAATTACGGTGTCGTAATTGGGTAATCATTGATTACCCAATCAATTTTGATAACGAGATAAACAAATTGTTTGATAACTTCGTCATTTCAAATCCGTTTCGCACCATCTTTTTAGATTATATTCCAGATTAAATGAACTATTGCAATATGTTACAACAAAGTCTCTAACACGAGTATAAGCAATTCAATGTTGATTGGGTGTGGCCCCCAAAAATCGAATTTTCAAATTTTGGTGACGGAATCCTTGAACAAGTATAGGTACAGTATTACATCTGCAAAGCAACAACTCTCAAATATAAAACGCGGCGGTGGTGTAAGACCCAACGTATGGGTACTGACTTATGACATGTTATTAAAAGATGTCAATTAAATAAACCATGCGTGCGGAGCTTACGCCCGCACCTGATGATTAATCAACAATGTGTGGCTGTGTGCGCGGCGGGCATCTTGTCTATGGTTGAATTTTCAACTTTGACTTTATCTAAAGATAAATTGCATTGATTGTTTTGTGGTAAGTAAAAATGTTGTTTTTTCTTAAAATATTTTTTGATCACATGGCAAGCTAGTAGGAAAACAAATTTTAGGAAAACAAATTTAAATTTTGGTATTTATTAATAACAATCAAAACATATCATATCATAAAAATAAAGCCGCGCGTTGGTTGACTGCCTCAGTAAGGTGACTAATTTAAGCTTGAAGGTGCCCTGCGCATTTACAAAACCTCATGCTGCGATCACATGATCACGAGGACCTGTGAGCGCCAAATTTCATTTAAAGTTTCTAGAAATCATACATCACTACGAGTTAATCATGCTATTGAATCATAAAAGTGCGGATTGTCAGGTATTTCATTCATTCATACTTAATCGGTTTAAAGCTGTATATTTAGAACTCACTATTGTTTAAACTAAGAAAGCAGAACGTAGATAATGGACAATATACCGACAACAATACCAAAAACCCGAGTGCCGCATTGACTTTTCCGGATCCGTTTTTACCGAAAGCTTATCCACCAGTTACTCATGCTGTGTGTATAGTCTGATAATATTTTGTTTTATTCATATAGTGATATAAATGACTGTTGACTGTGAAATGTTCGCAAGACCCTTTGTCATAACCTAAAGTTGTATCAGCTGGGTAAGGACATTAACGGTGCAATTTTACTTAATGGACGGAATTCCATTAATATTTTACGGATGTTACTCGTCTAAATTTCTTCGAAGTAGCGCGCGCCGCTTTCTCCGATGGCAAGTGCTACGAAGTAGCGCGCGCCGGGCCAGACCATTAACAATGGTCAACATTAATATATAATAACAATTTCACTTACAAAAGAGTTTAACGGGTGATACTCGGAAAATATTTTTTTAATATTCAGGATCGTCGACGAGTCCAACTCATCGACAAGTCCAACTCGGCGCGAGTCCTGGTTAGGTAGGTTATAAACCTACAAAAAAATGTTGTAGGTTTGCAACCTACCAGGACGCGCGCCGAGTTGGACTCGTCGACGGTCCTGCCCAATATATGGAACAAATATTTTACGAGTATCACCCGTTAAAAAAAGAGTCGACTATGGAAGCGCATGTGTGTCAAAAAAAATAATGATACACATGCGCTTCCTAGGTAGCGTATGTGTGTCAAAACATTTTTTGATACACATGCGCTAGCAGTTTTATCATGTATATCATTAGGTGGCCCATGTGTGTCATTTTTGTAAAATTGCTGTAAAATCTCTATTTAATATTCTAATCGCTATCTTTATCTATTTATATATGTATTTTATCCTTATCTCTATTTTATCTTTAAACTCCTCTCCGCTCGCCTCCCGTGTGAAACGAGCGCGCCTGCACGCTGCAGTGGCGCGAAAGCACATGGTTAGGTTAAAGCGCGTGTACTGTTGCTGCACAGGCTATAATGTTAATTGACGATGTCAATTCATCGCAGCTCGGCGAGGCACAGTAGCGCATTTCACCGATTTAGCGTTGCAAGAAGCATAATCAATAATTGAATGCGCGGCGCGGCACAGTAACCAGTAACGCATCGTGCTACAAGCTATAATATTTAAAAACATACTCATTGGAGAATGGAGCTATGGAGGAATGTTACTGGGCCGCGCTCAGCCTGTCATTCCGCCAAATCTTTATTCGTTATATATGTTAATGAACATAATAGCCTGGGGTCCTTTGTCATACGTTGTATGACCCGCCGCGCACGAAGTGCGCGGCTCCCCTGTATCGTCGAAGACTCTACAGGGGGCCACTATAGTGAAGCGACCGTGGGGGTCACCACGTGATACAAGGGGTCCTCAGGTAATGCGGACCTCGCTGAGCTGCTATGCAAAGTGAAAAAGCAACAACTCAATGGATGGTTAGTGGTTACCCGTACCGTAATGGGTGCTACATGCCTAGCATGAAATATTTACTTACTTACTTGTGCACTTAATTTGTGTATTATATGTTCATAATGATATAAATTCGGCGGAATGACAGGCTTGAGGCTGAGCGCGGCCCAGTAAACTTCGAATCGAAAAAATTAAACGAGTAACATCCGTCAACAAATAGTTATATGTAATAATTAAAAACAAACTTTGCTTGTTTACCTGAACTTAGAATTTTATACAATTAATGTAAGATTAAAGTCGTGTTTTTACCAATTTCCCTGCACCATCCGGTAAATTTATTACCCTCAGCCCTTAGTCGTGGGCTGGGCGGTCGTATCGTGGCTTTCGCCACGGTATAGCGGGGGCGAAATGAAATACAAATGAGGATCGCGACGCGTGACTTGTAGGTTTATAACCTACCAGGACGCGCGCCGAGTTGGACTCGTCGACGGTCCTGATTAATATTTGAAGCAAATATTTTACGACTACAAGTATCACCCGTTAAAGAAAGGATTGGAAATTGAACTCGCCGG